TATTTATTTTTATTTTTATTTTTTTTTGAGTTGGAGTCTCACTCTGTCACCCAGACTGGAGTGCAGTGGCCGCTGCCGGCCACCGCAGCCTCGACCTGCTGGGCTCCGGCGATCCTTCCGCCTCAGCCTTCCAAGTAGCTAGAACTACAGGCACGCGCTACCACACCCGGCTAATTTCTTGATTTATTGTAGAGATGAGGTCTCGCCTGCCCAGGAGGGTCTCGAACCCGCAGGCTCAGGCAATCCACTCACCTCAGCCTCCCAAAGGCGCGGGATTACAGGCTGAGCCACCGAGCCCGGCTTCATTTTTTATTTTTAAGTTAGAGCCTCAGTGCTGCCCAGGCAGGAGTGCAGCAGCACGCTCATGGTCCCCACAACCTCAACCTGCTGGACTCAGGTGATCCTTCTGCCTCATCCTTCCAAGTAGCTGAACTACAGGCATGTGCCACCATGCCTGCTAATTTTGTGATTTATTGTCAAGATGAGGTCTTGCCAAGTTGCACAGGCTGGTCTTCAACCCCTGGGCTCAGGCAGTCCTCTCATCTCTGCCTCCCAAAGTGCTGGAATTACAGGTGTGAACCACCATGCCAAGCCTGAAGATTTTTTACAATGATACTTCCTAATGGAAATACAATTCAAATGTTTCTTGGGAAAAAAACATGACAACTATCTGGGCCACAATTCAGATAGTCTGTGTCTAATACACATCTGAGCCAGAGTTTCCTCTAGCATAGTGGTGATCCTGTTTCCCTAACACAGAGAGCTCCATGTCTATGATTTAACAAAATCACTTCATTCAGAGATGTATATTACAGAGGCTTCTCACAATCCACAGGTTAAACAGATCTCCTGGTCTAAATTTTGATTCTACCTATAAAACCAAGTATATGTGACTTTAGCATGCTCAAACTTGGTCTCCTTATAGGAAAATGCAATAACAACTATACTTCAAAGGTTGTACCGACACTGAGAGAACACATCAACTGCTTAGCATAGTCTATGCCAGGCAATGCAGGCAAGTAGAGTTCAATACATAATAACCATTCTTAAGTGCCACAACTATGAAAAGAAGAGCACTGCCTGCAAAGTTTAGCACCCAACATACAGTTCAACTTGGATATCCCCCAAGGTCGCCCCACATTCTGAATCAGAATGTTACTGAGGTTTGACTTTATAATAAGCAAAATCAAGGTCACTTAAAAATTATTACATTTCTGATGTGCTAACCTTGATTTTAAAAATCCTTCCTGGTGCTACTCAATAAGTGATTGTAGATGGCTCAGATGATATTAAAGCTGTGTCCCTGGCACTGACACCTTCACCCATCATCTCATGACCTTCCTGAAGCCGAGGAAGTGGGATTCTCCTTCAGACAGCTTAACAGAGCAGGAGTTGGGACTCAAAGTTCACAACCAAAGGTTATCCTAGCTGACATGAGGATAGGAGCTGTGATCTGAGCTCAGGTCTCCAAAGCCTGTGCTTTTTCCACAACATAGCACTGCCTGCCACTCTGTCTGGATTGCACCTGTGATGCTATGATTGGCGAGCAAAATAGACTGGGGCAAAAACTAATAGGAGGATCTTCTGTTTGAATTAATTAAATAATTTCTAGACATTTTGAATAGAAATACATTTCAAATGGGTAAACCTTTTGGTACCATACTTTAATAAAAGCTGTTAAAAGTATAAAACTAGGTCAGGCACAAATAAACAAATAAATACTGATCAGGACTGTGCACCTAACACACAGTGAAGGTTAGGACTTGTCATCAGTCACAAAGAGAAAGACCGAGGAAAGGTAGTGTCAGATATCTAAAAAAAAATCAGGAAGGGCACTGAGTGTGGTATAAAAGAACCAGATCAGGAAAGAGTCAGGAGACTTGGGTTTTAGACCTGAGACTTCCACTAACTTGTGTGACTATAAAGTCACTTCCCTTCTAGGCCTCATTTTTATCATAAGAAGAGAACTTGCCTAATTAATTCATTACTTAACTGAGAAACGAGTTCATTTGTGTGCAGGTCAGACAGTACCCACAGGTAGAGCTGTCTGATGTATTCTGAGGCGATGGGGAAGGTGGCGATGCTTGGATGAGCTGGCTAAGGATGAAGACTCCTTCAACCACGACTGTCAGGGAAGGGCTGGAGGTAAGAGGTGAAGTACATAACCTGCCATTCTTCACCTAGATGGTATGTGGGCTTGCCCTTTTCTTTTAAAATGTTGTAATTATTACTGACCAGTACACTTAAAAATAGTTATTTTACTTGTTTTTTGTTGTTGCTGTTATTATTATTTTTTTAGTAGTAGTTTCACTCTGTGCCCAGGCTGGAGTGCAGCGGCATGCTCATGGTCATTGAAGCCTTGACCTGCTGGGCCCAGGAGATCCTTCCTTCCTTCCTTCCTCACTTTCTTGTAGAGAAAAGGTCTTGCCAAGTTGCCCAGGCTGGTCTCGAACCCCTGGGCTCAGGCAATCCTCTCACCTCTGTCTCCCAAAATGCTGGGATTACAGGTGTGAACCACCACGCTCAGCTTATTTATTAATTTTTTACAGACATGGTCTCGCTATGTTGCCCAGGTTGGTCTTGAACTCAAGTGATCCTCTCACCTCAGTCTCCCAAAGTGCTGGGGATTACAGGCATGAGCACCCAGTCAAAAATAGCTATAATGGCAAATTTTATGTTATGTGCTAAATTTTTACTACACCATTTAAAAAAAATCCTATGACTATTAACAAATGAATGTAGTTTTAATCACCATAACCAAAGCCCTGGAACTTGAAACTAAGAAGACATAATTAGTACCATTTGGAAAAGAGAGGTGAACATAATGAGCTGCATTAGCCTGCAGTTAATTTCTGTCAAGGCAGAAAATTAAAACTCAACAGGACTACTGCCATGATAATACTGAGGAATGGGATTAAGGGTAAACCGAGTCAATTCCAAATCTTCTATTCAGAATTGCAAAGTACACACACACACACACACACACACACACACACACACACACACACACACACCCCACATA